CGCGTCGACTCTCCGAATCGCGAAGCTGGTGCGCGCAGGAGTGCGAATTGTGCAGAAGGCCACCCTAAGGCTCAAAAGGTCTTATAGGGATCCCTTTTGGGTTTCCTCATGTTGGTTTCACCCTTCTAAATGCTAGAAGTCGATACCACACACTTGGAACCACAAAAGAGGACGGAAATAGGTCGAATTAAAACGAGGCGGGCACCACTTCTAAGGTTCTAAGATAGTCAAGGGAGGTCCCTAAGGCTAGATCCTAAACCCTAAGAGTAAGACTAAACCTCACTAAAAATGAGGTCAACAAAGCGCTGTCAAAATTTGATTCTAAAGCGTTGAAAGAGTTATGGCTATTCGGTATATTACTAGTGTGAAGCTAACACGAGTTAAAAAATGATCAAAATGAATACATTATAAAGTTCTTATAATTATAATATAATATTCTACTAATAATTACTCTGAAATTGAATTAATTAATTTCAATCATTGAAATCCATGTAAATGCTGCTTTTCATCTTTCATGAAATTCAATTTTCACAGTTGCTATACCAAACATTATAACTGCTTCTGATGATCAAGAAAGCAGAAACAAGTGGTAGAATACCATACCAAACACACCCTAAAACTAATTTATCCAGACAGCAAAACAAAAATATATTAGATCAAACACTGTCCAAGTATGGCCAACCTAAGCAAGAGAACATATGAAAATACATGAAGAACCACAAACAATATAATGTATGATGACAAGCCATGCTCTAGCCAAATGCCACAAGAAGCTTACCCTGATCCACGTGTAGCAATTCGAAGTAGGCGTAATGAGGGTGATAAAATTTGGAAGAAATCCTTGTCTGGGGAAACAATTCTAACCTACAATTGAGGGATCAGGTCGTGTAAAAGCTTAAGGAACTAAATGCAAGTTATAAGTGAAGACAAAAAGAAATAGGAAAAGGTGAACTAAAATGCCACATATAATTCTAATCTAGCTCCACCTTTTTTTGATAAATGAACTGTTTCCCTGAACAAGCCAGTTTCACATTTTAATAGTAAGCCAAAAAAAAAAACTTACGATTATGCCTACTTTAAACTGTCACATAAAGAGGATATAAGGGGGTTCAAAAAGCAAACTTGACAAAGCCTACAGTTATAGCAGTAAAAATGTAAAATTGATGAAGAAAAACTTAAAACTAGAGTTGTCATCTGGATGTTTCGTCGTCGTTATTGAACATCATTCCTTACATATGCATGGGTATGGATCAATATTCATTACACAGTCAGATAAAATTTCTGTTCCATTGTTTTTTTTTTTTTTGAAAACAGCTTGTTTACCCGATCATGCTATAAGTTGGCATATTTTTTCATAACCATTTATTGAAGCTTAACAATATAGACATCATCATGAATTATCTAAACGTTCATTGACAGGACAGAATTTTTGTTGGTTGATTATTGGCCAAACTGTCCCCTCCTGCTGGTACCGTATAGAAATGTAGAAATGTAAGTTGTATATAATTAAATTTCATACACGGTATTATGGTTTATTTTCATGAAAAACTGTGCATATTGGCACGCTTAAACATGAAGCTCTTGAAAATGCCAACTGGAGCATGAAATGATTATGAAGCTTATACTTTCACCTTGGTCTGGTAAAGAAAATTAGTAGCTGCATCTATAAAAGAAACTTTGTCTAGCCAGTTCATTGGACTACTACTATATTAGGTTATTATATTGGACCTTTATCAAGGTATGCAAATCATTAAATTCGAATAAAATTGTCATTTTATATTTCCTATAACAGCCAACGGGAAATGCAAGTACAAACCAAAAAAGAAAACCTTAAATCCGGCAGAAACACTATTTACAGCCAAAGTACCAATGACATCATCAGCTTCAACACCAGGAACCTGCAAAGAGCAATCCATAAATCTATTTCCATATTCTTTCTTCTCACTTATATACATAAGAAAAATTATTTACCTCGATTACTTTAATGGACATAGCTTTAATGGAAGCTTTCAAATATTGAAGGCCTTGAACAACAGTATCAGGTGTAGGTATGCGGTTTGCCTTGTAAGATGGATATAGCATGTGACGAAAAGTCAATCCTTTAAAAAATATGCTATAATCAGAATTATAAGATTGATGCAGAAAAAAATTATGAGTGAATGTCTGACAGCAGAAAATTTTTTTAGCAATACTTCTGGTAACATATGCACAATTTACAAAATGCCAAAAAGAGGTTGAAAGTAACAAGTAAGAAATAAGTGTAATATTCAGTGATAGTCATGACTATGGTATAAGATAACATGATGATGATGGCAATCGGGTAGAGAAATGTACTCAGCAAATATCAGGTAGTAATTCTAATTGAAAAGGCAATGTTTAAGCCTGCAACAAAAGGTGTGTCTGATGGATGAGTCTCACCAATTGGTGGACTAATAAGAAGAGATGGCTACATGCAACTTCACCCCTTTATAGCACAAGATTATTCCTACGCTCTACTAGATTTGTCAGAGAGTAAAATTTTACCTTTTGACCCATAATTTTCTTTGAATGGCATGGCAGTAGTCTGATCAAAGGAAAATCCTGAAAGGAAAAGTTTGACCACTAAATGTCACTAGCATTGAAATCAGTGGAAGTCAACCAACACCTTCAAAATAACAGTAATCTTGCCACTAGAAGAAATGGTTAATGCTATTATTGTGAACAAGAAAAGAAGATTTCTCCCAACAATATTATAATCCAGGCCATCCAGACAGAATGATTTCAACTTTTATACATCTTTGCAGCTTCGGAAACATGTCAAAAAGTTGCAAAACCCCTATGAAATCCACTGAGTAATCAAATTCTACCTTTAAGTTCCAACTCCTGACACAAAAAAGATAGAGATTCAAATAATAGAGAAAATTAATTTCTCTTAGTTTCCATGAGAAGAAAACACCCTGGCTATGTTTATATGAAGAAATTCTTAGGATCATACAAGTACCAACAGAAATATAAGCTATAAATTGATGAACTTTTAAGATGTTTTATATGAACTACAAATCATCTAGAACTGTAGATACAACAAAAAAGTAGAGATAGCCCAAGCAAATAGGATTCTTGAATTCAATTGCCAATATGACGCTGAAAGTCCTAGGGTGCATGATTTCTAATGTAGATCTAATATGTAATGTAAGTTTATATACACTAAACAATGCAACAAACATGAAATTTTCATAAAACTTAAGCTATTACTCTTAAACAACTCTTTATGGCTTTCAAAAAGAATAATAAAATTCATCTCTAACAAAAAAATGATGGCATTCTACTATAAATAATAATAACAATAATGATAATGAGATAGGAATCACAAAAGCCACATTCATACTGAAACTCACAAAAGAAGGGTTTGATTGAAGGAATTCTGGCAAACCTTAAAATTTAAACCAATAAGCAGAAATACAAGTAGAATATTAAAAAGAATGAGGGAAAAATGCATAAAATATAAAAAAAAAAAACTAGAAAAATAAGTGCCAATATGATCCAGAGCGTCCTAGGGTGCATGATTTATGATGTAGATCTAATATGCAATGTAAGTTTAGAGATGCTAAACAATGCAACATGTAAGTTTCATAAAACTTAAGCTATTACTCTTAAACAACAAATGCTTTCAAAAAGAATAATAATTAATATAATAATAATAATATAGGGATCGGAAAAGCCACATGCATATTGAACCTCACACAAAAGAATGGTTTGATTGTAGGAATTCTAGCAAACCTTAAAATTTGAACCAATAAGCAGAAATACAATTAGAATAGTAAAAAGAATGGGAAAGAATCGCACAAAATATCAAAAAAATACTAGACAAATAAGCCTATTCAGCTAAAGATAGATTTCATCTGGAAGACTTGGATAAAGCTATATATACCAAATAGTACCAATAAAATCCTCTAAGAAGCAACCATCAAAAGGAAGAGCCATGGGAACTGATAAGTAAAAAATTCTAAAAAATGATGTTTTTCAATGCAATATAAGTAATAACTAAAAAGCATAGAAATTTAACTTTATTCCCATGTAATTCTACTGTCTAACATTACTCCAGCAACATAAAAAAGAAACAAGAAAAAATTGATCTGGAAAGATACCTAAACTAAAAGGTCAAAATGCACTCAGACCCTACAAAATTAACTCAGTAGCACTTTATATTACTCTTTATAAATAAAAGAATAAAATCCATTTGTGATCAATGAATTTGGCATGCTACTCCAATCCAATTCTTCAGTCAACTACTAAAAATAATTATATAAGATGCAAATCATAAGCAAAACAACCTAAAAGGACTTTACATGTTAATTAAGGCATGATTGGAATGGAGCATTTCAACCCAAATCATAGGTGAGTTACGTGCATGTATTTAAAAAATAGAGGGGGGTGAAGCGCAGCAGGCATAAGCAATAAAGGTGCAATGTGTACTTTGCTCAAAAAAATTTTTTAAAAAAAAAAGAATAAAACATAAAGTTTGAATTAACTTAATGAGACTAATATAAAGCCACATTGATCACTGTCTCCATTGGCATTTTGTGCAAATCATTTTCAACTATGTTCAGCATGTCAGCATTGGTTTACTTCTTCACCTTCATAAACCTTTAATATCAATTCTATCTACCGTCTTTTTTATGCTTTTACCCTCCACTGAAAATGCCAAAATTATCTAAGTTTGTTTTCTGTTATCCTATGCGCAACTTTTTAATAAATAGGTTGAGATGATAACCAAAAAATTTATAATGAAGAAATAAGAAGAAATAACAGATTCGTTCAGGTGGTAATATAATATACATTTGGAGACAACAGGAATAAATCTCTCACCATCATGATCAAAGACCACCTGCACCACAAAAGTTTGACAGGTAATTAATTGCTAGGGGCCTCTAGGTATATTGATGAAAAAAAATGCAAATTGGTGAAAAAGAAATGCGCCACTTAATCTGAAAAGAAATTTCCATTTCATTGTTCAAGGATACAAACTCTAAACGCATTTATTATGAGGAAATATAAAAGAAGAAAACGCAGCATAAAAGAGAGAATGAAATTAATCAGGTATCAAAGAAGCAAATAATTTTATTCACATTCTAAGAAGCAGTAATAACAACAGTAAGGAATTAATAAACCAAGATTCAAGCATACCATATCCTCCCAAAATAAGTCAATTATATAAGAGATCAAGAAAAAGTCATTCCGTATTCAATTTTTCAACTCGACAACTATTTCAAGTAAAATTTCATGAGTAACCCTGTTCAGTACGCAAAACTGTTGATCATAATATTAGAAATCCTAGTGTTCACAAAAAAAAAAAAACTGCCACGTAATGCAAAAGATTAAACAGAAATGAGGAAAACAAAAAAAATTAATATCATTCAATTTTGATAAGCAATTATTCTTAGCATTGTTTATTTTGATAAAACATAAACAAAAAAGAAAAAGCCACATTAGAACCACCATAACATTTGGCCATTAATTGTAGGAGTGTCTTTCTAATATAAATAAGGCTAACAAATCTGTATTATTTAACTAATAAACTCATTGAGGAATACACCTCCACAATGGTATTTATACGTAGGATTTTTTCCCAACCCTTAATTAAGCAAAATAGTAATCCCATGTGATGTATTTATGAGAAAAAATTTAAAAAATGTCAAAATAATATATATATATATATATATATATATATATATTGTGTGATGTGTATGTAAATTTCCATTAATATTAATGAAAGATAGAGCTCTCTCCTTGCAAGTTTAAATATTTTCAAATGGGAGATTTCCTCTTATGTTGCCACTTATACAGGTGTAAACAAGTCGAACATGAGTGAGTAGAGGAACTATTCGTGTTAGACTTGTTTGTAGTAATCAATGTTCAAAATCGGCTCGTGTTTGAATTAGGCTTGCAATGAGTTTATTCGTGTCCAGCTCGATATTGCTAGAATTTATTTGAAATTATTCATGAGCGGCTCAAAACAGGATTGTTCATTTGTTTGCTTGATATTTGCTCGAATCGGCTCAAACTCAGTTCGTGAGTCAAGACCATGCAGGCCAAGCAACTATAGGCATGTAGTGCTCAAATGAGAATTTTCATACATTTAAACAGCTCTAAAGTTCTAAGTGCAATTTGACTGTTCGCTATTCTTCTTTCTTTTTTTTTTTGGGGGGCATTTACACACATACCAGCCAATTCATATATTTAAATATCCAACACCTAAACTTTACTTTACATTTATACAACCCAAATCTCTTATATGCATTTTTTTAAATACAATAAAAAAATGAGCTAAAATGAGCCAAACAAGAAAGAAAACACATTAGTTCATGTCGAGCTCAAAATAATGTTAATGTTCAGCAATCAAACACGAGTTACTTAACAAGCCGGACGTGAGCTACTTGCGAACGATGAGCATTTTTGACGTCCCTAATTACTAGCGATATATCAATAGATAATAGGGTTGATCATGAGACAAGATAAGATCAGCATTGGGCTATAATTTATGGGCAAACGTTTGTCCATCTGAAGCTCATATCAACTCAAGCTCAATCATCAGCTTGAAAAGCAGTCATACCCAACCCACAAAAGTATAAGACTGACCTACATGTTGCTCCAACACGCATACACAAATGTTTCATTAAAATAAATTACCATTTAAAAGTTTTATGCAGCGCAGAAAACAAAATTTCTTGAATTAAATATTAAATAAAAGTATTATTGCTTTAAATATCCAACGATCACAAAGCATTTGCTAATGAGAGTCCAGGAAAAAAAGCTTTAAATTAGCATTGAACTTGGAATCAGCACTTAAAAAAGTGATGTTCATGGCAACAAAAGAGGATTTTTTAAGTGATTTTCATGGCAATAAAAGAGGATCTTTTAAGTGATTTTGATAAGAATAAAAAAGGTTTTTTTTAAGCTCAAAAAGTTTGGGTCTCAGTTCAGCAAAAATGTTATGAACATGTTTGTAGCAAACCAAAACAGTAGCAAAAATTCACTACAAGAGTAAGACCCTTCAAATTGTTCTTGATTGCTAAAAAAGGTTCTTGCGGTAACTTTATTTTTTTCTTCCCTCTGGCAGCGTTAATTAGTATCATAAGGGTTTTAATGTTCTTTAGTCCTGCAAAAGCTTCAATATGAGTTTTCTAGCATTATTTTCATTGTCATCAATCCTCAATTTTCCAACTTCTATCTCCATTGCTCCAATTATGCTAAGAGAATTAGTTTTAATATTAGTTTTTAAAAAAGAAAATAAAAAGAAGTACGAAAAAGATCATAAAAGACATTTTATGTATTTGGGAAATTAATCTATCAGCATCAAATCTCACACGAATTTCATTATATTTAAAAGGCTTCAATGACTGAAGATGGCTTCTTGAAAATAGAAAGGAAAAAAAGTCACAAAAATAAAAAATTTGTCCCCAAAATTAAGAATGTTGAATCTATGAAGTAGGGAAGGGTCTCCATTAAATCAATGGTAAGACTTAGACTCCATACACCTTGAGCAAGCACGACATAGATTTGGCAAAAATAAAGCCAACCTGAGAAACAAGTTGGTCAGAAAAATCCTTTTCATAAAAGAACCCACAAAATAGATGTGTATTAAGATACATAATCAACAATAACACAGTATAAAAGAAAGTAACGTCCTAAAATCATGATCCAAGTTTTCTAAGATATGTATTAAAAAAAAAACATAAATAATGAAGGCAACAACTTTACAACAATCAGTCAACATACCGCAACATGAGATGGAACAAATTCCAGCACATCCAGCAGCTGCAACAAAGCATGAACAGCACAACCAATTAAAAATCTGGAGAGGAATGACAGCTAATAATAAGGATGATTTCCATGCTGAAAAACTGAGCAGGAGAGAAAATAATAACTTCCCAAACTAAATACATATATATATATATGCTGGATTTGTTTCATCAACAAGACAGTTTAGAACTTTTAGCATGTTGTAACTTCAACATCAGCTTTTTGTTAAAATAAATTGTGCCTAAGGATTCATGGTTACCTACGCATGTCCATAAATCTTTGTTTGATTATTAGTTTTGACAACAAAATGCTCCAAGAAAAATAAATAGCTTATGATCAGATATTCATACAAGCTGCTCTTACCATCGACAAGGCAGTGAAAATGGTTAAAACCCAATCTCCATTGCCATCTGCATGCTCTAAATGTCCATGATGCAGTCTAGCTTCACTCACAGAAAAAGAAAAATATTTTAGAATCTTTTAAAGGTGCTAGTTACAAAAATCAGAGATAACACACATCAAACCTGAGATTTAAGAAAGATGGAAATAGAGAATAGAGCTACTTAGAATCCCAAAGGTAATTAACATGGATAAATCATGAAGTGTCAACAACCTATGTTGCACATAAGAAGCATTTAAAATAAGAAAAAGATAACAAAAGATTCACACATCATCATCATCATCAGCCTCATCCCAATTATTTGAGATTGGTTTTATGAAAGCTCGTTATGCAGTCATCTCTTATGGAATGTTTGGGCTTATCAACTTGCACTGTTGTTGGTATGTCTCGAAAAAAAAACAAATAAACTAGCTTACGAGTTAAAATATCAGACATGCTCGCCACTTTAAGTTTATTAAGTCAAAAAGCCTCTAAATATAGCAACCAGTATATCCTTTACCACAGTTTGGCCCACTTTCAACAATTTTATTGATCTTGATAGCATGGAATCAATTACTTTGTAGTACAGCCAAGCAGCCATGACTCCAATGTGCATTGATTAGAGTCTCTTCAATTATGAATATTGAATAAAAGCGCATAACAGTGCTTCTTTAGCAAACTCCGCGTAATTTTGACTCAATTCAACAAAAATTTACATACAAAAGGGACTACCAAAATAGCAGTCAAGAGAATAACATGGGGCATAAATTAAAGCCAAAAACATCAACAATGAGACAACTTCGAGAAGTTAAAAAAATTACCCAAAAGTTTGTAATATGATCTATATAATATCGAAGTTCCATCAATGAACATCACACGATTGTTTAAGAAATCAGATTGCAAGTTATGCTTCCCCTGCTTTGCAGAATTAGCGGGTATGCATTTCAATGACATTCTTGCATCATCAGAAAGTGCCTCTGAGCAGCTTAGTGCAGAGGTTGCCTTTACAAGCCTTGATGAACCAGAGTCCAAAACAATAGACCTCTTGCAAAAATCCTGATGGGATATGAAATATAATTAGTAGACTTGTACAGTAACATGAAGTTGATTGTTGCAGGACACAGTAAAGAACATGATTTATCCATTACACGAAGCCTACTTGGAATAGACATGATACTATAAGGTTTATTCAGAGAAAAATAAAATAATAATGCAGGAATAATTCTAAATAGCGATTAAATCTAAGAATTGTTATGCCGACTATATGGTGCATAAAAAAAGCATTAAGGGGTTGCTTCGTTGCAAGGATTATGAGTGTAAAGCTAAAGAAATGCAGTGATTTTAATTTGTAAACCAAATACAATGGTTTTTTTAAGGGAATTGAAATGTGTTGTAATGCCAATTTTTGAAGAATTAAGAATTCATCCAAATTGAGCAAATTTAAAATGAAAAGTCAATTCACACTACCCGGCCTACACATCACCATTCTCCACCGCCGCCCATCATCATGCCATCAACCACTACTGCCATTGTCGTCGCATGTCGCCAGCCATCACCACTTATCACCAATGACGCTCAAACTCCCCCATCAATCGGAAAAAATATTACCTCAGGAGTACTGATGCACCTCAAGAGTACTGATGCATCAGTACTCCTGAAGTAATATTTTTTCCATCAATCGCTAAGATGTCATTCCTCATATTTCAAAACATTTTAAATTTTTCATAAGAAACACAAAAAAGAATTTCAAAGCATTTAATTTACATCCAACCAAATAACTCATGCATTTTTAAAATGCATGCAATTCAATAACTCTACATTTTCTAAATGCATGCATTATAAAATATGCAACCAAAAAACCTATAAAAGAAAAGCACAAAAGAATGAACATCTACAAGATTTGCATATGTGGATCTATTGAAAAACATTTTTGTACAATTTTATGATGCTCGTTGTGAAGCATGCTCAATGAAGAACTAACATCAAGGATCATCTCCACCAAAAGAATAAAACATTTTTTCAATAAAGAGGCCTTCAATACTGATTGTTCAAGTAGATGCTTCATTTTAGCACTCAAACTAAATGAAAACAAAATCAACATTTTTTAAGCATAATTCTCTCAACAAGCATCCAAATGAGCAATAGAGAGAATGTAAAAGCCATTTAAGAAACTGAATGCCCAAGAACACCTGATTACTTATCTTCAAGATTCCCTACCGGAATTTACGTGCCATGAATTCATTAAAAAAAAGGCCCGAATAAAATAAAATAAATTACACGAATTACCAATGCCAACAGCACTAGAAAGCATACCCTGAGCCTTAACTTTCTTCCGGCCCCCCAACTTCCCACGAAACAGTCTCCCAGTCCATAAACACTTCTCCGAAATGGCTGCATACTATTATGCAACAACCAATGGCAAGACATGGCCATCGCTTCATACGGAACTCCTATAGCAATGGGCACGGCGTGCAAGCAGCATCCGTCTGTGTGTAAAGAATCCAATCATCGTCTCGGACACCAAAATGTGAATCCGAATAGGTATAAAACCTAAATTCAAAAAAGTTTCCTTTAACAGGTGGTGTTTGATCCCCATTTCAATCTCTTGAAAAATCAAAGCAGGAGCAGAAAATAGAAGAGAAGTCCGGAATACCGGTATACAATCCGAAGAAGAAGCCGAGCAAGATGCACTGCTTGACCGAGAAGAAAGTCCACGAGCTTCGATAGTGGAAGATCAGTCCATTTGGAGGAGAAGAAAAACTAGGGTATCGTCAGGAGCATGGAAGAATTCGTTGGCAGGATGCTTGAAGAGGATTTAAATTAGGTTTAATTTAAATTGAGACAAACATAATAAATAATGAGTTAGATACATTCAAAGTAAATTTAGTTTCTGCTTCTCTTTTTTTATAAAATTCGTTGAATTTAAAAGATTTAATTTAGAAAAAAATATTTTTAAACAGATTTATATAAAAAATATTAGACAAACTTAATTAAATTTAATTTTAATTGAGTCAAATATTATTTTAAATTTAATAAATTTGAATTGATTGAATTTAAAAGACATCACAATCTTTTTTTTTTTTTTTTTTTTTTTTTTTTTTTTTTTTTTTTTTTTTTTTTTTGAGTAAACTACATTTTCTCTATGACGTTGGATGTTGGCATTTAAAAGAGAAGCATAATAATAAGTTAAGTGTCTCCTTCGTCCGACAAAATTAGAGAAAATCGTCTGAGATGGTTTGGTCGCATTAAACATTGACAATCTGATGATCCGATTATGAGAGTAGACAGGTTTGGATTCGACTTGTGTTAAGAAGGGCAAAGATAGATCTAGGAAGACTTGGGCTTATTGTATAAAAAATAATCTTAATTTACTAGAACTAAATGAAAATGATACTAAATAGAATGCAATGGAGATAAAGGATTCATGTACTCGACTCCACGTAGTGGGATTAAGGCTTTGTTGTTGTTGTTGTTGAGTAAACTACATTTTGATAATTTTTTCATTGAAAAAATCTGTATTTTTTACGACGCCCAACTAAATACCCTAAAACTTTCCAATACTTAGTGCACATTTGATGATGCGTACTGATGAAAATAAATAAATGAATTTATATGTTCACAAATTGAGCCACTATTTCCGGCCCCTTTTTTTCTAAATGATTACATATGTTTAAACAATTTTGAATATAGCATCAATTTATTAAAGCAGCTGAAATCACACTAAAAAAGCAAATGTAATTTCTTTTAACAGCAATCATCCATTATATATACGAAGCTAATATGAATCTTAAAAAGTAAATAAGCTGAAATCAACTAACAAAAACTTCATATTTACAGATCAATGGAAAACAAAAGCAAAAAGGCCAGATAGTAATCATACTAAATAATAGTAATGATAAATATAATGAAAAGTTTCAGAGTAATAACATATTGTTGCTGCTACTACAAAACAAAATACTCAACTTCTAGTTTCTTTACAAAACTGTAGCAACTTCAGAAGAGGCATCCACAACCTAGAGAAAAGACTAGGTTTGGACTGACAAAAAACAAGGTTTAGCATGCAAAATTTGCTCCAAAAAAAAAAATTACAAGAAAAAAAGAAAAGAAAAAATCAGCTGCTGACTGCCGAAAGGAAGCTCCCGCCGCTTTTGGTTGGAACCACAACCTCCCAGCCTGGTCCTTTCAAAGGAATAGAGCTGGCGGCAGGAACACTCTCTGCAGTGCCATCTGAACTTTTTGGCTGAACCACCATATCTCTCCGGTCTACAAGTCTGAGCAAATCTTCATCGCTGATGTCCGTCTGATACAGTTTATCTTCAGGATCCTCTTCATTTCGAAGCAAAGCTAGCAGCTCAGCTTCCTGATACATTATAACAATAGATTCGCCTAGTAAAACTCTCATTTTTATCGAATAAGATGCTACTCAATCATATTGTTTAGCAGTTTATCCAACTGACGTCTAGGATAAAACTAGAGTAAGATGAGTTTCAAATCTGGAAAAGAAAATTGCCAGTTTGTTCAAAGGTAGGTAGGTGTTTAGGGAGCAAATATTACATTCCCGAGTCCAATGATGGGTGCCACATGTCAAGTGGGCCCACTGCAATACACATTGGTGTTAAAATTTATGGAAACCACTTGACAGTGGAGCCCCACCATTGGACTGACCTAATATTTTTTTACTCTTTAGGGCAAATTGAAGAAACAAAATTGGGGTATTTACATATATGACGCCCAATTCTTATGTATTCACATATCTAACTTTACCTATTATATTTCTACCACACAAATATTTCATATCTCACACATCAATAAATTTATTATTTTAACTTTTAAAATATGAAATATACATTTTCATCCATGTAAGGGAGCATATATGAAATATGTAAAAATATATATGAATTAAGTGGCATATATGGAGATTTTCCAATAAAATTACATCTAGTGCATTGGCCCTGGTCCGATCCTGATGGAAATCTCCTTTGCCAATTACGACGTGCTCCAGCTTCAACTTTCCAAAAGCTTTTTTTATTATTTTTCCCTGCAAAAAGAAAAATTATAGGCTCATCTGCTAAGTCAAAAATTAATCAATACAAGGAAATTTTCTCTGCCAACCTCTACAGAATGTGAAGTAGCGAGCCGATAAACATGGACAGGCTTAGTCTGCCCAATCCGGTGGCATCTGTCCATTGCCTGCAAATCCATCTGAGGATTCTGCATGGCAAACAAAACAAGAATTGGAGAAATTTCTGCATGTAAATGAAAAATATTGGAAAGAAGGAATAGATATTTACCCAATCACTGTCATATATAATACACGTATCAGCAGCGGTGAGATTAATACCCAAACCACCTGCTCTAGTGCTGAGAAGGAATATACTAACATTGCTCTCTACGTTGTTAAATTCCGCTATCTGTTTTGGAAAGAGAACAAATAAATATAAGAGGCAGAAATACAATCCAACTTGAATTACAAGGGTTTATAACCGCAAAGAGTGAGGAAAAAACATGTCTTGTAATAAAAAAGAAAAAAATAAAGGCTCTTAGCATGCCAAGATGTAGCTGGTGTAGTAGTTAAAACATTCAAGACATGCCATTCCAAATGTATGTCTAGCCATATGAACTCTCCCAAACCCTATCAGCTAAATATTTTCATGTGAACATCTCTATTCATTACCTCGGCTTCTTCTATTTCAAATTTAAGTTTGACTATTTGTTGTGAAATCATTATCTATATGAGACATTACTAAATTGATCTCCTTAAGGAGCTCTCATTTATTCTGAGGTTGAACTGTAGTAATGGGTTTTATATGTGTGGCTTCATTCCTCGTGGGTGCAATGGCGCACTAGCATTAAGATATATGTAACGTGTACATCCCTGCAGAGTGCATCAATGATTTGGAATGAATAACAATGCACTATGAACCCACATACCAAGGATAGAGTTGAAGCGTTGACCAAGCAGCCTGATCAATGATCACTTCGATCAACATGAAACGATTTTAAATGATACCATAGCATGAGTACCATGCTGCCAATTAAACAAGAGCCATCGATAAACTTGGAGTCAATATGATCAAACTTAGGGACTCAACAATTTTGCTTGATTAAAAATTTTGGTATAAAAGAAATGACCATTATTGGGGATAAGTTTATAGATTTCTCCTTTGCTAATTTTAAGAGTTGCCCAAAGAAGATCCATTAAATTTTGACATAAGCCTTGTGAACATCTTATGTGGTTTAGAAAGACAATCCTTGGATGGCACTTCAAAAATGTGTTCCTGAGGACGCGAAATATTTGTCATTTTGCTCCTCTTGAGAGGCATTTCGGTCATGTAGTTTACCCAATACTCTACTAGAAATCTCGGCATAAACTTTAAACCAATTTGAAACCTTAGGGAGATTAGCATATTATCAACGTACAAACAAGCGCATGGTTGCTCAAGCATGAATATCAAAAAAAAAAAAAAAAAACCCTTAAACAGCATGGATTGTCTACTAATATATATAAAATACATGATTAGCAAAAAGGAAGATATCTTCATATACAAATGACTTACTTTTACTCTTAAGTTTCTTTTCACTAGTGGCCCTTTCAATTAATTGGATGATTCTATTGATTTGTTATTGATAATATTAGAAATACAAAATTTGAATTCTACCATCCTGCATCTATTCCTGACACTGGGTCCAGGTTATAACACCTTCTCTTTTCCTTTACTCTAGAATCTTCTTCTATTATAAATCAAACATCAAAAGATCACTATAAACTTTGGTTCCACCGCCCCTCTATGCATATACACAAATAATCATTAAAAAAAAAACATGAGCCTAATGTTGCCTCTGCATATACATGAATAATCATCGCAAAAGAAGCATGAGGGATAAGTTAAACCGCCGACAATTTAAAAGCATGGTACAGATGCACGTTTTTTCGCAAGTAGTAAACAAGCTTTCACATAAATGGATATAGAGTACTGAAACAATAACCTGTCTCTGTCTTTCATCCAGCTTAACATTACCATCAATCCTACAAAGCTCCATGCCTTTTTCACTCAAATAATATTCAAGTAGATCCACAACTCTAGTAAACTGGGAAAAAATTAGAACCTGAAAAAAAAATGGCAGCAAGTTACAGAGATATGAAAAATTAAACAATATTATCACTTAGAATTAACCAGATAACTATAATACTTTATGTTTTCGGGGAAGTAGCAAAGCCAACAATCTTTCCAGCAGCTGAAATTTACCGCATTGCTCCACCAAAGTCTCAATAGGAGGATACTGAACTGTCGAGAAACAAAATATTACAGCAAGTTTGATTTTAACAGGTTTTGAAAATAAATTTAAAAAAAAAAAAAAACTGGAACATGTAAAAGCACCAACATGACTCATCGTATCCAGACTCCAAGATATCAGGATGATTGCAATTCTTCCTAAGCTGCATTAGCAAGTTGTTCAACTTCCCCTTCATTCCAGGCCTAATAACTCCTGTTTAGATGCCCTAAAATCAGCACAAAACAAACAAAAAAACTAGCTTGCCCAGCCCAAAATGCAAACATGACAGTTTCCCAAATGAATCTCCCCCTATTACATTGTATTAAAATTAGAAACTTCTTACCTGTAGATACAGTTTCTATTAAATAGTTTTCAAGTGTTCGATTCAGTAAGTGGTTCTGAATATTCTTTTGATGCTCAGTCATATTAGCATAGAGGATTATCTCTTTTTTTCGTGGAAGCATCTGTTCAACATCTGCCTTCATTCGTCGAAGAAGAAATGGGCGTAAAATTGAGTGCAGCTTCGATACAACCTGAAGACAAGCATAGAACCTCATACATTGTCACGTGCAAAAGGAATTGAACCATAAGTAGGACATCTGAGCATATACCTGAACCCTCCTCTTCTCTACGTTCTCTTCCTGTTCTCCCTCGTTATTGTATTTACCAGAGAAATCAAACCTAAAAGAAAAAGTGATTATAAAAACAATGAAAATAGCCCTAAGAACGCAGGCACTGCAAGAACGCTTCTAGCATGAAAATAGTAATCTGAGTACAAAATGCAAACATTGAACAAACTTTCATAAATCATAACCTTAGAATATATAAGAAATGAATGGGACATAAAAATAGATATTCTAAATTATATCGGAATTCTAAGTCATAAACTTCACAAAATGCAAATTATGGGACTGGACTATCAAATGAAGTCAAATGGTCTTAAGACTTGAGTTCAGTTTAATAAAAAAAAGACCTAATTCAACTATAGAAAATCATTCATTTTGCACTTTAATAATTATGAAAGTTGTAAATGGATATAAGAGGGTAACTTCTGCTGAAAAAAAAAAATACATGACAAAAATCCACATCCTGAAGTGAGTGTTTGCCTTAATTATACTATCTAATAAATACATTATCTTCAACCATTGTCATGGAAATGATTTTCACTTATCTATTGCAATAACAAGTTCTTTTAGCCCAAATTATTAAAGGATCTACGAAATTGAGTGGTTGAAAGCCAATCTTTCGGTCACTTTTTTTCAAAATAAGGAGAATGACTTAATCAAATTCATGTTTCTATAAAAGCCAATGCCTATTTAGATAGGCAACAATATAAAATGATAGGCTAAGCGTGATGGTAACCTTTTGAAAATAATTCAAAATATTCACATATGTTGCAGATATTTCAGAATAGCTCCTAAATAACTACTACGGGATTGTAACTTTGTCCAAGTGGATGGCCACGGATAAAAATTTTAGATATTATTATGCTAAATATGATGCGGGGGCTATAGAGTTGAACCCGGTTAAATAGGTTCAAGGTGGAGGGGTTGAACCCCCACCCCACCCCCAAACCGTTTGGTGGGAGATATTTGCCCCTTTCTTTTTTGTTTTCCGGCCTAGTATCTATTATAGATATATGTTTTCGTGATCTTAGGGTTTAGTTTTTGGTGCGATTTCTGTGTGGACAGCTGTCGGCTTCCCCACTTCCCTCGTAGAGAAGTATCCAACGGAAGAAGATGCTCTGATTATAACTAGTCCGAGGTGGTGAACATCTTCAAAGGTTTGAGAGGTGCTATGGTTGTAACTTAATCCGACAGGAGCACTTATCTTCGACCATCTCCCCGGCATCCCCACCTTCTTGCTTCCAGCATCCAACCGTCCCAAACCTCCACCTACAGCCGCCCTAGTCTTCTGCCCTCCCACACTGCCGCCCAACCTTCCCTTGTTGGCATAACCCCTCTACCACCCATTCTTCCTACCGCTTGTTGATTCGCCTGCACCCCACAAGTCTCTCATATCTAATGTCAACCATTCGTAGACACAATATTCTTCCCTATTATTGTAACACCACTTCCAACCCTCTGATCTACTATTCCAGCCTAGTATTCTCCCCCTCCTCCTCCAACCGCATCTCCCACAACACCTACTCCCCACCTGCAGTCCAGTCTTCCTTGTCCCCCCTCCCCCACTGTTGGCACCAAACAGTCCAGCCGCATACTCCTTCCCTTACCCTTTTTACGCCCCCTGCTATTCACGTCTTTCCATCATGGGATCTTGTGTCATGTTGTATTTTCTTTCGTATTTTAAGTTCTTGATTGTAACCCCATTGCTGTGAGCATTAAAATTCTATTTTTCTTTCAAGTTTTGAGTTAACTCCAGTATCAAAATATTTCAAGTAGTCTTGTAGATATTATCTACAAATTGGAATCCTAAGCTCTCTCAAAGAACAAAAATAGATCATACTCGGTCCCTTAGTACCTAACCTTTCTACATAGTTAGTAGCACAGCAAAAAAGTCTTTGTTGATTGTGTTGCCCTTCCATCCATTACTTAGGTTACTCAGAAAGATCATTGGCACGTTCTAGTTCAATGCAATTTGAGGCATGTCTTTTACAAAATCAAATTCAAGATGACATCAAATCATTGATGTCCCATAGCACATTCATTATATCACTGTATCAAAATCAAGGTTACAAAAAATAATATCACTGTATCAATATCAAGGTTACAAAAAATATTTAACCGCAGTAAAAATTCCTTAAATGTGTGCTTTAACCACAAGTTTTTTACAGAATCCTTGAACTTGTAATGGGCCTTGAAGCACTACTTTTGTAGCTCTCTAGCCTAGATTACATGTGAATTATTGATCAAACATGATCCGCTGAGTACCCATCCCAAAGGAAATTCAAGTTCAAACACAAAAATTGAGCCTTCCACTTGAACCAACCTGTTTTAACGAACCATTACCAAATATTCTATGAAGTTTTACATTTTTATTCTCCAACACTTCAACATGGCATAAGTGTAAAAAAGTTGAAGAACTAGTTTTCATTTCATAAAAGCTAAAAAAATTATTTATTTATATTTTTAACGCCATATTGTAGAAAGGGTTTTAATATACATGAAAATCTCTTTGAACCAGTCATATGACTTTCGTCAAAAAAAAAGGAGCATGCTAGTATTTCATTATTTCAAGTAATGAAACATTATCACTACCTTTCACCAAATATCATGTAACAATTCATGAAATAATTCCTAAATGATGGCATAACATAATGGCATAAAAGGATGCCATAATGATACACATCATTCGAGATGAAGGTTAAATTGTTCCAAGACAAGAAGTGACAATTATTGTAGCACTAGTTAATTGCTTTATTCATCTCGTAACTTCTCATTTTAGCAATGTGCATTACATAGCATGGACTTGGAAAAGCTCATTAAAAGGTAGTATCCAAATTTCTTAAAATCCAAACCAACTAAAATTTTGTGATAATATATATCTTTATGTAGATGTGGATGTTTTGAATTTCATTTCTTTCTTAGAAGGTGGATAATTTGAATTTTATTGGAACCTAATCTATATATTTTCAGCAATACATTATCAAACACTGAAATTCAACAATTAGATCAATGCATATTTTTGTTTTATTCTAGACAATTTAGAGAAAGTGTAAATAAAGAAACAAGTTGAAAACGAGTGCAACCTAAGATTACCTAAAAGGGAAGGAAACTAATTTTAAGAACTTACGGCAAACTAATTAAAACATGAATTCTATGCAATCAACAAAACATACCAAGATTCAAATTCTTCATGGGACGAAAAAATATCCGGCAAAATAAAGTTTAAAAGTGACCAAAGCTCGGCCAAATTGTTCTGGAGTGGTGTTCCAGTTAAAAGAAGCTTGTTTTCAATTGGCAAGCGTCGTATTTCCCTTAATAATTTGCAATTCATATTCTTTAAGCGATGGCCCTATACCCAAAAAAAAAAAAAAATTGATCACCAAGAAACAATATAAGCAAGTGAGACAATGGGAAAAAGGGCACACAGATGGTGGCAGAAAACAATATTTGGCTTTGGTGCTACCTCGTCTACCACAACATATTTCCACGTATAGTGGGATAAATACTTCGCATCATTCATTACAACCTCATAGGAAGTAATCAAGACAGGGAATTTAGGGCCTATTTCCTTTGGCATAAATTTTCTCCTTATTTCAGCACGATCAGCCTTCGAGCCATGGTATATGATAGCTTTCATGGAAGGAACAAACCTAGAAAAATATTCAAAATAAGAGGAAAACTCTAATGATTGGCATAATTGATGTGGAAAAACAAAAGTGACTTTACCTAGACACTTCATTTACCCAATTTGATAGGGTTGAGAGAGGAGCTATGACCATATATGGACCGTCAAGACCATTTCCCTTGAGATGTGCAAGAAATCCAATTGTTTGAATTGTCTTACCAAGACCCATCTGATCTGCAAGGATCCCATTAAGACCATTTTGCCACAACGAAATCAACCACTTCACACCTTTAAGCTGATAAATTTTCAACTTTCCACCAGTCATTAATGGAATAAGTTGCCTCTGTTCTTTCTCGACCCTTTCTTCCTCAGTAAGGTTGGCATCCTCAGGTGCAATAGATTCATTTGATCTTGTTAACATGGCTGCAACGGCTGTTCTGGCTTTCCTCTAAAAAACATCAAAATTAAGTCATGACTTTGCAAGAAACAAACAAAAGCAGAAGCAATGATTTAAAAATTTGTCAAGGATGAATGTGCATTAGCAGGGCCATAGAAGTTTTGAACTGATTGCAAATCAAGTTACATGTAAGAGCAAGCACCCAGACTCTCGAAAATCAACATAAAATCACAGATACAAGCAATGCCATCCAGTCTATTTATCTCTCGTTTCAGAGCAACAATAAAGTTTTATGCACATTAGTAGTCAAATATAAACTTTAAATTTAGGCAATGGTTGGTGATTTGATGTATTATATATTGCCGAGATAATGCTAATGGACTCACTGTATTATATTGGCTGGCCGCTTTCCTCTTCCGACCACGGCCAGCCTTCTTTTCTTTACAGGCATCCACTTCTGTAAGATTTTCTAAACCTTTCTGCCACAAAAATTTTAAGCTTATGAGCAAAAGAAAAACAAGGATTATTTACAGAATTTCAGTATATAGTACGAAAGCAGTACAAATGTTATATCCTCCATCTTTTCCAGAAGAAACTCTGAATACAACTGAGTCTGTGTGAGAAGCTCATCAAGCTTGCTGAACTTTACTTCCAAGCTCGGCATCGCTTGTTTTTCCTCGTTAGTCTCCTCTTCCAACCTCATCCGTTCAGCTAGCAACTTTTTCTCCTCTTCCTCCATGATCTTTGAGATGAGAAGCGTATCCCCATTTTTTGCTTCAAGTTCAAGCGGCAACATCGTATCATCTTCACTAACCTTGCCGTTCTCTTCATGGATATTGCACTAATTTCACAATAAACTCAACGTCGTCAGAAGAGGAAAACAGAAATTTCAAGATAAAAATAGGAAATAATAAACTCATATGACAAAACCCCAAAAACATGTAAAATAGGGGCTATAATCCAGCCAGCTAGCCAGCATCAATATGCAAACCAAATACATCGCCAGCAGTAAAATGTCAAGTACAAATGGAATAAAATCAAATATATAGAAGCGAAATCGGCATCACCAAACTCTATCGCAGAGCTTTTTCCTCTCATATAAAATCATCATTAGATGAAAGGTAAGAAAATTAACCTCGTCTTCTAAAACGGATATCGGAGAACCGGCCACTACATCATCCTTGATCCCGTTATCTTCCCTAACCTCCATTTCCCGGAACTGCAAATATCAGCAAAAAAAAAAGCTAACGTAAATGAGAAAGCAGGCCATAGCAAAAACAGAAGAGGAAGATCAAGTAATCGACATAGGGCAAAGGGTTTTCCCTATTCAAATTGATCCCATATGAAACAAGCGGAAAATAGAAATCTATAAAGCAAACAAGCAACGAAGAAATCGCTTACATTTCCTGTTGTGTCTCTTCAGGATTTTTGGAGAAGAAGAATCAACTGCCGACGGCGCGATGGAAGGGGCCGATGGAAGATATGGAGGCGGCGGCGTTCGGAGCAAGTAGACAAGTAGGGCTTAGTGAGTTTCGGCGGGAAAATAATGATGGCCGGTTCACTTAAAAGGGTCCTTATCTTACTTTATTTACGTGGCTCCAATAAAAAATTTTAATGGGTGAAAAGGGTATTAATGTAAATTTCTAACTGGATTTGAATTTTTTTTTTTTTCCTCGAGTGCTGTGTAGTCCCCAGTCGGACCGCACGGCGGCGTACCAACCATTTTCCTGCAGTTGAAAAATGTATATATTATTTTAACTTCAATCAAAAATATAATAAAAATAATAAATGGAAATGATTTTTTTCTAAGCTATTATTTGTTATTGAATTGAACTCTAAAAAAAATAACAAAGCTGAGATATATGTTTTCTTCAGCTGGGTATTGTTAAGAGGCTAAATTTTTAAATTAGATGTAATTAGCATTAGGTGCAGCACCCTAATGGAAATTAGCAATGGGAGCAAAATCTCGAGTGAGATTTACATGAAATCACACTTTGGATTCATTTGAAATGCATCTTATTTGTAATTTAAGGTTTGTTTGAGGCAGCTGCAATTGTCTTCAGTACGTATGGCTTTATATTATACTTGTAATAACAGTAATAAAACATTAATATACCAACATACATACATATATGTGTGTGTGTGTATATATATACATATACTCGCACATATATCGATCATAAAAATAAAAATGCTCTGGATGTTGATATTTTCGGACGACAAAAATGGCTTCACCCGAAAATAAAGAGGCAATTGACACAGACCTCAAGGCTTGACACGGATCTAGAGACAATTTTTTTAGAACGAAATATTCAAATCTTGATAAAAAATCATCCAGAGCTCCGATTTCAAGAAACTTATACTTAAATTGGCCGTATCGATGAAACAAACATAATGATATAAAAACTAGTCCAATTCAAGTCAAATTAAGCCCAAATCAAGTCATTAAATCACTCTTAGAGGGTCTCCAAACATACTTGGAATGTCAAACAGATGTCGAAGCTAGCAAGCTTATAGTTGAATAGAGCATCTCGACAAGACGAATCCAACGAACCCAAGATTGCTCAATTCTGACATTGTTAACACACTGAAATATTCATCAAACATAGTATAATCGAAAGAAGCATTTCAGACTATCCGATAAAAATGGTTCATATTACTGCATTAATAACATTCAAAACATTATAAATAGACATCTACCTACAGAAGCCATGTGAGGGAACTTGAGGCTTTGGGAATGAACTAAAGTCCAGCACCACCGCCGACCACCGTCAACCGTCGTCGATCGCCGCTGATCATTATCGACCCTCGTTGATTGTTATCCGTCGACCGTCGTCGACCACCCGCCGATCGTCGTCGATCGCCGCTAATCGTTATCGACCCTCGCTGATCGTTATCCTCCGACCGTCGTCAACCACCCGCCGATCGTCGTCAATCATTGATGATTAAACGTAGTCAGTAAACGTCGTAACTTGGAAAATATAGTAACAATCTCCCATCTGTGGGACAAGAGCTCACCGCCACAGTCCATGTACCAACTACGACCAACGTGGTCGTCAGCTCGTGTGATCTATGAATGTCACCATTGATCCTCACTACGACTTTTATGCCAACAACAAATAGCATGTCATCAGCTCATGCAGTTCCCGACTTCGGTCCCAGCGACTTATGAACGTCATCAATACTCGCCCCAACGACCCACATGATCATCAAATAATACAGTTTATGAATCCAACACTAGCGGCCTACAAACGTCATCAAAATTCGCCCCAACGACTTACATGGTCATCAGCTCATGCAGCTCCCGACTCCGGCCCCTCCGGCCTACGGACGTCATTAATACTCGCCAACTACAGTCTGCGTGATTCACAGTTCCCACAACTGCTTACTATAACTTCTCTAGCTGATCAACGTTTTTGGAACAACCATCTATCACACTCACAACAGACTACTACATCCACAACAATCAACAATGACCCTTGCAACTTATTGTCACCAACATCTGCAGCCTGATTATAGTTATGTAACTTTGTAATTCTATCTTCTCTAATTTAGGGGAAGATTAAACATGTGTTTATAATGAATTATTTCAACTTGGATAAATCTCGTAATTTTTCCCCCTTTTAAGGGTTTTCGAAGTAAAAAAGTTTAGGTGTCTATTCTTGTTTGCTCCTTTTCTTTTATTTGTGTGAAAAGTTAAGACAATAATCCATTACTCCACCGCAGCGAATTTTTAAATTATTTTTAATTTTAATATAATAAAATATTATTGTACTATTTGATTAATTTTTTTAATATTTATATTTTATATTTGAGAAATTTTTAATAATTGTATGGTGAATTGGGTTTGCATTAAATATATATGAACTGGTTTTAAATATGCGTTATAATAATTAAAATATATATTTATTTTTATAATTTTTTTTTGTAAATATGTGTCTAATTCTTAATATTTATTTTTATTTCATTTTAATTCCTGTAAAGTTATTGGTGAAACATAAATTATTTTTGCAATTTTCATGAAACACAAATAGCGTGTTTTATGTAAATCTCAAACCACACTTGAGAGATTCCTCATCTTGCTAAGTTCCATCTTGTGTTGCTCCTAATGCTAATTACATTTAATCCTAAGCTCCTTCTAAAAATTTAGCCTTGTTAAGAATTTAGCATTTATGCAATTATTTTTTATTAAGGATTAATTGTCATGATAAATTTAAATTGAATGAGATTAATCTCATTTATTATAAGAGTTGTGTCTTCTCTCAATAATTCCTCCCCAATCGCCTTCATACTCATTAATGTGTAGACTACACGAATCATGTGCATCGTGCAATCTCACTTTTGTAGTCTTTTGAACCAAAATTTTTCTGTCTCTCTATCTGTAGGATGATTCATTGAGTTAATATCCCATGACCGACTACAACAACAAAAAGTGTATAAACAAATAGTCTCTGAAGAAGTGAAATAAGCGGTCGATAGAAGAGACACTAGTATGGAACTTCTTTCAGCCTCATATTCGTTCATGTAATAATCAATATTCTCTATTTTCAACCCTAACTTTGAGACCATTTTTTTTGTCTTGTACAAGTCTTATGAAACTAATTTTTCTTTTGAATTACTCACTTTTTGTAATGTTCAAAACTAATTGAAACACTCTTAAGACATATTAAACTCTGTATTATTTTTAGCATTATAAGAATTACAAATAACTTAAAATACGAAGTGCATCAGTCCCACAGTGGCCTTTGAGCGGCATTCAGTACATCATAAAAAGTTTAAGCCTGCAATTGACTCGGGTAATAATGTATTGCCTCATCAAATATCATTTCTTCAAATATACTTGAGTGAAATACAGGTGGAGGATCATAGCTCGGTGAAGGAACAAAGCTGAATGTTGCTGGGTCAACCTCACAATGTAAATTCTAGATCCATTAATTTGACTGAAACTTCCAACGATATAAATCGTATCTTACTTCGTCTATCGTTAAGTATGCTCGATTTTTGTGGTTTGAACATTGACACCGACATCCAACCTCTGATAGATAAGATGGAAGTTGCGATGCTGCAATCACAAATGCATCTACACCATTCAAGAGCTCTTCGGTGATATCTTTTCTATCTGGATAAAGTTTATTGTACATCCATGACATTGATACATGAATATCCATATATATCTCCATACCTCACAACAATCAACACATTATAAAGTGTATTTAATTTAATAAATAAAGTTTTATTTAAGTAATCAATATAATGACAGAGTTATAATAATGGGTGGTCAAATCATTGAAAGGACTACAAGTTTTAGAATGCGCGAACGACGTTAATCCTTAGAAAATGGATTGATTTGAATTTTGGCTCGGATGAATATCATATCAAAATAAATGTGGTGAGCTACAAACCAAAATTTTGGAACAAATTTGATTATAGTTGACCCAAGTTCGGTTAGAAAGCAGAACATTAACAGTCATGTTCTTAGGGTTCTCGAAGATCAATAATCAGCTGAAATTTGATTTAAATTTTTGGCTATAACATTGTTTTTTACTATAACTGCTCTAAACCTTTCACAAGTTTATTTCTTTCACCTTTTCTTTCAAAGTGTAAAGCCACAAATCCATCTAAGTATTCTTATCTCTATAACTCTTACTTGATTACTTGCACACTTCTATATATTTTATGAGAATAAAATATCTCACGTGATGTAAGTGTTTTAATTTCATCCTCCAATGTGAAATCTAATTTTCATTGTCAAAATGAAAATTAACTTTGAAGTGAAATTTCATTTTGACATTGAAAATTAAATTTTGTAGTAAATTTTTTTGACAATGAAAACTAGATTTCTCATTAAAGGAAACAATAAACACTCTCACATCATATAAAATCTTTTATTATCGGAATATGTTTATAGATGTGTGATTCATCTAATAAAAAGTTACAGAGACGATAATGCTTAGGTTTATGATTGTGTTTATAGTTAAAATCAAAATATGAAACAAATATATCAGTGAAAAGGTTGGCGTAGCTACACTGATAGACAATTTAGAGAGACCCATCTTAATTGATTTAACTTATAGATTTAACTTAAATCGAGCAAAAAAAAAAAAAAAAACTAAATATTAATTTGAAGTATCTGCTAATTCATAAATGATTGCATTCGGTTGATTTTCAAATCAATATTTGATGATTAAGAATCTTCAACATACTTAATATCAATAAGATGTCAAATAATTTGATTTTAAGTCGAGCGAAGGTCAGGCATTTATTTTGATACAAACTTTATCTGTGATAAAATTCGAATTAATTTTCAAGTAATTTTTGTTGTTTGAGCTAAATTCACAGGCCTACCATACGTGCTATATATATACATAAACTTTAAGAGTCCTAAGTTCCTGAAATGTATAGCATAAATTTTAAAAGTGTTAAGCCCTAAATTCTTATATATTTACACGTATCATTACTAAGCAAGCATGTTAAATTGGATTGTGGATCGATCATACTAAATTTCGATCCAAACTAGTGTGGAACAATTCAATTTTTGAGTCGGCTCAAAGTGTAAATGAGTTGGCTCAAATGAAATTTTTTGCTTGTGAGCCAGCTTGGTCATACCCAAACCTGCCGACAAATGCACTAGCAATAACTACAATTTTTTGTGAAAAGCGGGATTTGACTCCGAGCCACCCCGCTCAAGAAAAAAATTTTCTCAACAATAGAGCTGACAATTAGTTGGGGTTGGCTCAAAATTGGCTTGAAAAAATTGGATAAAAAATTTTGGTTCTTAGTTCGGCTCGTTCATTTCGATCCGATCTGAATTTGAGTCATAATTCAAATCAATTTACGAGCTAAATTAGCTAAATTCATAGCCTTAACATCACTAAGTTTGTTAACGATCTTATTTCAAGTAGAGTTGAGGTTGGCTAAAAAAAAAATGGATAAAAAATTTTGGCTCGTAGCTAGGCTTGTTTTTTTTGTTTTAATATGGATCCGAGCCAAAATTTGAATTAACTTTCAAGTGTTTAACGATGTTTGAGCTTTATTCATAGCTTTAATGGCCATGTGTTTCGCATGTAAAATTAAAATCTTAGGTGTTAAATATGTAAATATATATGAATTTATTTTGATTCCATTTCTAGACGAATGACTAGTCGAAATCAGATCAAAATAAATTTGTTCCTTTAATTTATCTTATAGCTCGACTCGAATGATTCGATATAATTTCGATCCGAGCTAAAATTGGATTCAATTTTCAAGCAATTTACGATCTCCGAGCCCATGTCTCAACCCCAGGTGCGGGCAACCGTACCTCCCTCATTGGTTAAACAAGCGCATGAAGAATGACATGAACAAGCTTACTTTCTTGACGGGTTTCAGGTGGGAGCGGAACGAAAGGATGAGAAAGATGGTGGTCTCTGTAAGTTGCGATCTCAAAATTGTCTTTCCAGCTAGCTTGAATGGCGATTGTACAACGATGAAAACAAAATTTAGGGCAAGATCGGGGGAAGAGGAACGAGCAAAGAGGAACAATGACGCGAACAATCATACATTACTCAAGGGTAGGGCTGGAGTGGATGGATGTGGGTTTTGGGGGTCTTTGTAAGCCGCAATCCAGTCGATGAGGGCCCCTCATCGAGGGTTTCGGTAGTCTCTGCAAGCAACAATGGCGCCAAGAGAGGGAAGCGGAGCCAGGAGGGATTTAGTTTGGCTGGGAGAGGAGGGTGTGGAAGCAAGAGGGATTTATGGCGAGTCCAGGTGAGGGAAGAGGAACAGCGGGAGAGAAGAAAAAATCTGAGATTTTAGACGATAATATGAATACCTTATACCGAACGGTATAAATATTACATATAAATCATATTTCCTATCCTATCCATAAGAGATAATATTGAAATATTAAGGTAGTAAAAAACTATAAATATAAGAAGTAAATTTTATGTTCGCTACAAATGTAAATACAAAAAAATGGAGTGGTATTTGTGTGAATACTTTTAATAAAAGAACTATAATCGATCTGCCATGGAATGAAACACGCGGCCATACTGATGTCCGCACAAATTTCAATTTCCAGATGGATCAAACAGCCCTCTTCATCCTCATCGCCAAGACTGATGCAGAACAAGAAAACTGTACATCAGGAGATGAAAACCCAACAATTCCTCTGTATCAACTCCCAATCTATATCCGCAATCGCGCTCACCATGTCCCTGCTGCTACACTCCCTCTCCTTAGCCTCGGGAACCAGCGCCCTCCACCCAATCATCCTCATCCCCGGAGCCGGCGGCAACCAGCTCGAGGCTCGCCTGACCACCAAATACCGTTCCACAAACCCTATCTGCGAACTCACCGCCCTCACCAAGCGCGGCAATTGGTTCCGCCTTTGGTTCGATCCCTCCGTCCTCCTGGCTCCATTCACCCGCTGCTTCGCCGAGCGAATGGAGCTCACCTATCTCCCCACCATCGACGACTTCCGTAACGCTCCCGGCGTCGAAACCCGCATCCCCCTCTTCGGCTCCACCCAAAGCCTCCTCTACCTCGATCCCCATCTCAAGTAATTCCAACTCACCTCCCCCAATTCTATTCCTTCGTCCTGTGTAATATCCTCTGCTCGCTCTTGCAGGCATTTCACGGAATACATGGGGCCCCTCGTCTCGGCCTTAGAATCAGCCGGCTATGTCGACGGCCGCAACCTCTTCGGCGCACCATACGACTTCCGCTATGGCCTGGCACCCTCCGGCCACCCATCGATGGTCGGTGATCAATACCTGCGTGATCTCGGCGAACTAATCGAGTCCTCCGTCGCAGCTAACGACGGCCGATCCGTCATTCTCGTCGCTCATAGCCTCGGCGGTCTCTTCGCTCTCCATCTTCTGGACCGCTCCCCGCTGTCCTGGCGTCGGCAATTCATCAAACACCTTGTGACCCTCTCCACTCCATGGGCCGGAACCGTTCAGGAAATGCTCACCTTCGCCTCCGGCTACACGCTCGGCGTCCCCTTGGTCGACCCGCTAATCGTGCGCGGCGAGCAGCGCAGCGCCGAGAGCAACCTCTGGCTTCTTCCTGCGCGCCGCGTGTTCGACGAAATGCCTCTAGTGTTCGCGAACAACAGGAGTTACTCCGCTAAGGAGATGGAGGAGTTTTTGAAGGATATTGGATTTGAGAAAGGGGTTTACCCGTACGAGACGAGGATTAGGCCGATGGTGGACAGAGCGGTGGAGATTGAAGGAGTTCCGGTGACCTGCATCGTTGGGTCCGGCGTTGATACGCCGGAAAAGTTGTTTTATGGTAGCAAAGGGTTCGACAAGCAGCCGGAGGTGATGTTCGGCGATGGTGATGGAACGGTTAATATGGAAAGCTTGCTGGCGCTGGAGAAGGACTGGTCCGAAGCTGGAAGAAAGAATCTTAAGGTCGTGAAGCTGCAGGGAATCACTCACACTTCCATACTTAGGACTAGGGTTGCAGTTAACAAGATTGTTGAGGAGGTTGGGCTGATCAATTCCATGGATTTCAGTTCGCAGCTTGGGTCTTAATTAAAAAGCTGCAATTTTTTTAGTTTATTGATTGAGGACGTTGATACCTAAATTTTAGGGGAATTTACGTGCATATCACCTAAATCCTATGTACTTACATATTTATCAATCAAAAAATTGCTATTTACAAATGTAACATTACTTTCGTCCTTTTTTCAAATTCTCGCCAAATATCAAAATTCATCATAAAAACTCAACCCAAAATTTTCATATTTATCAAATTCTCAATGATTTGATCGTGATACTTTGTAAATATATTGATTTTGTATTTCAAAAATTTCAATTGAGTGCTAAATTTTATAAATGACAATGTTTTGGGTATTATCTATGTAATTTGTCCTAAATAAATATAAATATTTTAACTTTGAAAAGAGAAATATATTTTTTTACATAATAAACAAGGGGTATATATGTAAAAATTTAAGTTTTGGTGTTATAAATATAAATATATATGAATTGAATGGTATGTATGTAAATCTTTCTAAATTATAATGGAGCACAAAGTGAAAGAGTTTTTTAGCAAGTGGCTGCAGTATTCTAATATATAAATTTAAATAATTTCAAGAATGTTTAAAATTTGAAAACTATTTTGCTCAGAACCTTTTGCATTTATTAAATTTTGATAAAATATGTAATTATTTATTTGTGGATTTAAGATCTGTTGGACGAGATTCTCAAACTCATTAATAAAAACAGTCAAATTTAATGCCTAAAAAATATCGTAATATAAAATTTCAATATATATGACGCAAGAGCACAAGTAAATTTTGGAATTTACATACGTAACACATTGATGCTTTTAAGTTTAGGTAGTAGTGTTATTTTGAAGAAATGTTAAAAGATTTGCGGTTTGTATATACTACGGCCGCTTAAAACATATGTATTTACATATCGAATATCTAATATTTGCATATTAACCTCTTAAAACTTATCCCTCATAAGTTTTAGGAGGTTAATATGTAAATATTAGAGTTTAAGTGTTTGATATGTAAATATATATATTTTAATAAAATATGGCCCTTTGACACAGAGGAATGTTGGGTAATGTGAAGAGCCGGTCCACCGAATTTAATTAGTTTCTTAATTAAGTATGTCACTTACCGCTCACCTACCACACCCACCTACCACTTACCTATCACATCTCACCTACCGCTCACCTATCTCGCACCTACCGTTCTCATGATTTCTATAAATAATCTCTTTTGGTTTAAAGGCAAGCCAAGCAAAGCCAAGTAAGGCCAAGCCAAGTCATATTGAGAGCTAAGAAGAGAGGAAAGGAGAAAATAAAATAGAGATTTTATTGTAAAAGTCGATGTGCTCCACGGTGTAATTCCTCGAAGTAGTAAAATCCTCTGTAGCTCCGTGGACATAGGCAATTTTGCCGAATCACGTAAATATGTGTATCGCTCTGGTGTTTTTTATGCGTACACTTTTTCTCGTTCCATTTTTCGCTTTATTGCCGTCTTTTTTTCACAGCAAGGAAATGTGCACACCATCAGAAATAGTGGATAATTTTATAATATTTTCATTGGCAGGGTGTTAATATCAAAGAAATGTTCTTAATTAATATGATTATAGATATTATAAATAACTTGACGATAGCATGTGTTAGATGACCAAAACCACTACATAAGAAAATATAATAGAGTGGTGTGCGTGCAGGGCTCTAGAAATATAACTTTGATTTATTCATGATGTCATCATGTTACTTTATTATTATATTTTTTTAGCAGATAAGACATTGGTTGAAACTATCGTCTTTTATTGTAAATGTCCTCCGACCAATAATTTAGAAGGAAAATTTGCACTTGTACCATTTAATTGGTACGTATGTAACACATGTTATGTTATATTATGTATGCATAAAAAGATGCATTTCATTTTTTTAGAAGTTTAGGTAGTCATATGTTTTTTACGTGATATGAAATATTTTAGTGGTATAGATATAAAAAAAAAGGAAGTTTAGGGGTCAGATATGTAAATACATATGAATTGGGTGGTGTGTGTGTAAATGCCTGCAGGCCGGATTTGAATGTTGAATACCGTGGCCTTCGGAGTGGTTGGACTTCGTCCGTTGATCCACCGATTATTATTATTCATATTTATTGGAAAATTTACAAATGATAGCACACAAATTATTATGTATTTATATATTTCATATTTAAATTTTTATATTTATTATGGATTGATTTGGTGTTTTAGAATATTTATTATTATTTTTATTTTAAATAATAATAAATATTTTCGCGTGTCGAAAATTTTTCTGTGATAGATTAATAATTTAGCATTTTAACATCGGACAAAGATTTAATACACCAAAAAATAAAAGAAAAGTAAACATAGGAAGATAGTTTGATTTTTATGTAGAAAATCCCGAGAATGTCTAACCCAGTCGAATAATTTATTGTCTAATAATTATTATATAAACTTACAATATTGATGTACAACAGTAGTGATGCGTGCCAGAAAATTTGGGGCGGTGCAGGGCTTGATGGAGTTCGTTGGACATTCGGTGTAAAATAGTGAACCTCAGGTATTCTCCTGTTTCAATTCTAGATTCTCATTCATGAAGATAGTGAAGCTCTATTTATAATTTGAGAGAGACCTTTCAACAAATAAGAAATGAATCCGGTTCACTTCATTGGACAAGTCGGAGAAGTTAATTTATCTTGATTATATTATATTTTGTAAATAGTTGACGGATTTAGCTGTGTGAGAATTGAGTGATCATGAACTCATTAAGTTTGTCTCAACAAGATGTTTGATTCAACAATAATTTTGTCAGATTTGAATTTTATATAACCTAATTGAGAACTGAAAAATTCCAAAAAATAAATTGATGACTCGATCTTGACTTGATTTGATTTGAATTTGCTCAACTTTGATATCATTTTGTTCATCTCATGGAGCCAATAAGTTTCACAATAAATATGCTAAAATCATGGTTATGCAAAATTTAAAAAAATATATTTTTTGAAATTCGCATCAACTCTTAAGATCCGCAACGAACGGTGAAAAATTATTGATGGATTGTTAATAATGTTATTTTTGTCATTACATCAAACATTTGAAGGTCGAATCTGTAAATATAAAAATATAGTGAGAGATAAGAGTAAAAACATAAAGAATTATTATTATTATTATTTCCATGAAATGAAGGACGCATTTGACCGATGTATCAGTATTCCCTCCGCCGGCCACGCTGAACTGGTCCTCCAATCCCCCGGACGCTCTCAGTTATACATAAAAGGAGCCATCAATCTCCATTTCAATCGCACACAAGAAACGATGAGCGCCGACGGAGCAGGGGAGGCCGAGCAAACCGCCGCAACAAAACCGGCGAAGACGAAAA